CAAAAATTCTGGGAAATAAATTCTGTAACCTATCCTCACCAGCCCACCTATCTTGCCAAAATCTGATTTTGTCCCCTTTACCCAATTGCCATTTGGTGCAGGAAAGGAAACTTGGCCACTGTTTCATAATATTCTTCCACAACCCACACCCATGAGGCTTGTAGCCGGCCCCAGCCCCACCCGAATTCGGCCCACCCCACCGAACAAACACAATTTTCCTCCATATTTACTGCTCCTCCGTAAAATTACTCCAAAGCCATATTGTGAAGAATCCTATTCTCCTTAAAGATACTCAAAGAAAAACCACGCCACTTGTTTGTAGTTATTGATATTCTCAACATCCCAACTAATACATCAAACTCATTCCCCTCAAGTGGGTGATTAAATTCACTCCCTCTTTGGTAGTCAATGGGGCATCCAAAATGTAACGACCTTCTAAAAAATTATATTGGGCTTCCCAACAATTGATCTAACCACCCTTTTTAGCCTTAACGCAAGCACCTTGGGTATTAGTTAGAAACTACTCACTGGGCTAATTGGCCTCTAGTCCTTCATAATGTCAACATCCTCAACATTTAGAAGGTAGAGTTCGAGGAATCAACAAACTCTCTGAAGTCACAGAATTCATCCAATAGCCTACAAAGAACACAGCAAACGACATTCCAATTTTTTTGGAGAAAAACCATAGAGAAACCATCAGGTCGTGTGGCTTTATCCCCATCACATAGGACAAGTAGGACTTGAGACCAATGATGTAGGACAAGTACGGTCTAAAGCAAAATTGACGTAGGACAAGTAGGGTCTGGAATCAACTAAGCCAAATACGACAGAGTTAATAGGAAACTAAGGTGAGAAAATAAAAGAGCAGGACAAATGACAAACATAAGATCAGGAACTCAGATAAGGAAATATAGAGAGATAAAAGGTACTTGCTAGAAAAAAGAAGGATCAGAATAGAGAACACAAAGGTAAATGAGGAACTTAACCCTGGAAAGTATTCCTTAATTCATCTTTGTCTCCAATTTTCTAGGTTAGCAACGTTTATTATGAACTAATTACAACCCTAATCACAATTAACAAGTAATACATCTCAATAGCAAAGATCATTTAAATTCAAAACTTACTAAAACAAAGTAGTATTTACTAAATAGCCTATATAATTCAGATTTAATAATAATTACAAAAATATTTTCAATAGCCAAAATATTCTCGTTCTGCATCAGAAGTCCAATGCCTGTAAGGTGAACCAATAGGAAGTTGCACTCTAGAGAGATTGATTTAGTGATGCAAAGAAGCCATAGAATTAATTCCCCGAATTGGGTGGGAACTCAGAAGTAATAGACCAACTTCTAAGCACTGATTTCATGCATGAATTCATTTCTGATATTGTGGCAATTTTATTTTGTGATTTTCGTCCTTTTAGAAAGGAATACTTTCCACTGATCTATCGTATACAAACAGCAAAACGACTATGTTCGGTTTGCATCATTACCTTTCAAATAATTCTAGTAAAAACTTAAAAGTGTAATACAAGTACATAAAGCAGCAAGCCAAAGAAAAATCTTCATTGGGTGAAAAGCATAGGCGTTGCATACCAGAAACACCAGATACAACCTCAGTAGCGGAAATCTGGAAGAAGGGGACACCAGTCTCGTTTGCAATGGCATGAGCCAGTTTGGTCTTGCCGCAGCCAGGTGGGCCATGCAGCAGAATGCCAGCAATGGGTCTCACACCCAGCCACTGTGGCAACTGCGGATGGTGGAGCGGAATTATGACTTCCATCATCAGCTCCTCAAACACGCTCCTCATTCCCCCCAAATCACTGAACCTTGGCCTTATCTTGCCCTTCCCTTCCACAACTCTGCCACAACTAGAAGTATTAACATCTTTTTTCATTCCTGGGTTCATATCCATCTTGCTTTTTGCCTTTTCGCTGGCTACCTCGACTTCTATATTCTTCTCTTCAGCAGTGGGCTTTGGTTTCTTGTTGGAGGCGGAGTATTCAGCTCGTAGCATGGACTTAGTAAGGTCGAACGGGGGTTTCACTTTCTGCCCATAGATAGCATCCTCTGATGTGGAAACAGACCCATCTTCATCATCATCATCATCATCATCGTCATGGAAGATAAAAGAGGTATTCTTGGACTGAAGGATTTGCTCAACCCGTCGCTTCAGTGGCTGGTGCTTAAGGCGAGCATAGTCAGGGAAATTAGAGCGGAGATACTCCACCACTTCGTCAGAGGTTGAATATTTATGCTTACACGAATCGATTCGACGATTCAAGATTTTGAGGCTAACCACCGGAGACCGAGAACTGCTGCCAGTTTTTTTTCCCATCCCCGTATCTCACGCAGGCCTCTGCTAAACTCTCTCAAAGTTCCCTAAATGTTTCAAGTTGATCCAGAAACTCCCCTCTGTGTTCTAAAGCCGAGTGAAGGAAGAAGCATCGGTCAGCCTTCTTCTCTGGTTGTTCTCCTATAGAAAGAAGAAGACTCCCAAACGGCAACGTTTTGAAGAGTCTAACTATTGGGTACTCTTGAATTTTAGGTAAAATTAAATGGTTGACTCTCTTTCGTTTTATTTAGATAAATTTCAATAATAATTAATTAATATAGAATAATAATAATAATTAAATGACAATAATATAGAATTATAATGATAAAATTTTTTTATATTTAAATGATGGTATATTAATATATGTTAATCACATATTTTTATTTAAATGATAGGATAATTATATTTTCAGTTAAATTATTAATTTATCCCTACATATTATATATAATAATAAATAGTATAAAAAAAGTATATAAGAAAAAAAAATTATTTATTAATATAATTATATTTATATTTAAATAAATAATTATTATATATAATTAAATTAAAATTTTATATTTAATAAAATAAATAATAATTATTTATATTATCACATTAATTTAACTTTAATAAAAATAAAATTATTTATATATTAGAGACAAATAGTTGTAATTATATATTAGTATATTAAATTTAAAATTACTTCAACAAATAAAAAATTAAAATGTGTTTAAAATAATCATATATCATGAGTTAATTTAATAATTAATATTATGTAAAAAATTAATCATTAATAAAATTCTATATGTGTAATCATATTTTTTTTTATTAGTTTCAAACTTTTAAATTTATTTTTTAACAAAAATATACAATACATATATATATGTGGATATTTTGGATTCATGTTCAATAATAAAAAAATATTTATATTCTATTACTAAATTATTTAAAATTAAACAAATATCACAATAAACCAAAACTGCTTCAAAAATGTAAAAATCCACAAATAAGTAAAGAAAGATATAAGAAATTAGTCCATATAACATAAATTAATCAATCCAAAACATAAATTAGTCCATCAAAATAATAAGATTCATCCATTAAACATCCAACATCATTTTGACAAAGGTTCCTAAAACCATAATATAGTCTTGCATTTCAGCGACAACAACTTCCATTTTCAATTATCTGAAAATTTGAAAAAAGTAAAAAATCAAAATCAACAAAAAAATAAATAAAAAATATTCGAACTTAAGATGTGATATTAGTCATTAGCTAGTAAATTAAGCAAATTGGTCATGAAAAAACTACGCCGATCAGGAGGACAAGTCATTAAAGCTTTAGCCATGTTTGGTTTATCCATAAGTAGCATAAAAGCTTTTGTTTCTTGAAGGGGATTTAATCTCATACGAGAAACCTCTTGATATAGCTCTTCTGCTGAAACAGGTGCTTTTGCAATTGTTAATGTTTCCTTCATTGAATTTGAAATAGTTTGAACTTCAGCCAAATATTCATCTTCATAGACCGTTGTCAAATGTCTCGTTTTCTTTCGCATTAAAGACTCTTGCACCTCATGTTCGGACTCTAAAGTAGGAGTTTCGGGTGTTGGAGCCTCACATGAACTATCCGGACCATGAAAATTAAAATTATCACTTAAATCTTGGGTAATTGGTGTTTCACTTGTAGCATCCAGACCATGTTCATCACCATTCCTCTTCCTTTGTCTTTGAGGTTCAGTTGAGGTTTGGATAATTGGAAAACGTTTCTTTAGAACTCCAAATGCATGTTCAATCACATTACGTAATAAAGCATGTCATAGATTAAATAGCTCACGAGCACTGCATGGTAGATTCCTAGAGTATTCACTTAAATGGTAGCGTTCACCTCTATATGGTGTAATTAGTCCACCTCACAGCATGAACCCAACATCGACAAAGTAAAATGTACCTATAAGCAATAAACAAATTAAGTTATAACATTTTTCTTCAAAAATATACATTACATATCGAAGTTAAATATATTTTAATTACCTTCAAGAATTACTAGAATGATGCGGTCCCCTCCCACCCAGCTAAGACGTATGAAAATTTCAAATCAAATGTACAAGCTGCTAACAGATTTTGGGTGTGGAAATCTTTTCTCCTGTGAAACCGTGGAGCATCTTTTTTAGTCACTTTAACATGTACATGTGTTCCGTTAATTACACCAATACAATCCTGAAATTAATTATTAACTAATTAATTAAACATGCACTCGTGTTAAAATAATTAATTAAACGTATATAACTTATAGATATACCTTAAAAAATGAAAAGAATATGGAATTGTTGGTTATTTATGAAGGTACTTGTGATCCATTTGGCTGATTAATGAATTTATCGACCATATGTACTATACATCGTAGCACATTATAAAAATGATGACTTGTCGTCTCTCCGGATTATCAAAAAATCCAAGATATGACTCGATTTCTCTCATTGTGTCCTAATAAGTAAAGTGTCTTAACTACTTGTTCTTTTACAGTTGTAGGAACAGTATGCCTAAGTCCAACATCTATAACTAGTAAACGATATAAATTCATAAAAGACGAAGCTCTCATCCTAATTATATGACGACAAAAGTCACTTGATAACAAATTTTTCATGAACTTATCTTGAGTTTTCTCTCCCTCTAGTCTTAGTTCATGAGTAAGCCTATAATTCATCTCGTGCCTTTTATGAACTACTAGCCCATGAAGTATGATAAATTGGCATAGTAAAATAACTACACGTCTCAAAATATCCATATTTTTTATCTAATGTGTGACAGAAACGATACCAAATACCTAAAACAAAAAGAAACGATGAGTTTAATTATTCCAAATCAAAGCAAGTCATAGCATAAATTTTAATCAACACACACTTTCGCCTGTTTGGGGAATAAATTTATGATAATATTTATTTAACCGCATTCTGTATTAACAGAGTTCCCTAATAGCATTTAGCATTTATTCTTTTCTCCAGTCACATATGTCATTTTCTATGGAAATTTCTGTGATGTCTTGGAGGCATTTTTCCTTGGAGGGTGTATAAGAGAATAGATTAAAAATATATATTATATTTAATCTTTAAAGGTTGTGATCTACTTCTAGTTAATCCAAATATGAGAGCAGTATGAATGTAATTTGCCTCCAAGAAACGAAGGTAATTTGCCTGTAACGAATCATAGTATTTCCTTTTCTTTTTTATAAGAAGCATTAGCAAACATATCTAACCATTCCATCTAAATTCTACAAATTTTCTAATAAATTCTACAAATTCATAGCCAAGTAATTCTACAAAATAGCAAGTGATGATTATAAAATCCCATAAAAACAACATCAAATCTCAATCATCCAAACCCAATGAGGTCAGCATCATTCTATCTCAAGTTAAAACAAATTCCTACATTAAATCAACAAACATGGTATGCAAACAGAGTTCGCAATTAACTAACATAACT